TCCTTGGGTTTCCGAGGCAGTATCACTATGGAAGTAGATTGCCCAACCTTCCTTCTGAGGAGTGGCTGGTGGGTTTGAACTGCCAGCCTCCTGGTTAGCAGTCAAGTGCTTTAGGCACTACACTACCAGATTAGTAATTAATGTAGACTCTATAGACTCTATCAACCTTAGTGTTGACCTTAAGTGTTTACATAAACATTAACATCCTGCCGTCATTTATGACATCAAGAACTAAAAAAAAAAAAAATAAAATAACAGCATTCAAGATGACATTTGGGAATGGCTCTTGAGAAGTGCAGAGCTCTGGCTGGAGGTTCAAACCCCCCAGCCACTCCTTGGAAGGAAGGTTGGGAAATCTACTTCCATAGTAATACCGCCTCGGAAACCCAAGGAGGGGTCGCTATGAATTGGGTCTGACTCCACAGCACATAACAACAACAACAACAACTTGAGAAGTGGGCAAAGATAGTGTCATCATCCTCCTAACTCATTTGTTTTTGCCCAACTCTGCCCCTCACCCTTCCCATGCTTTGGCTCAAGGAAGAAATTGATCTGATAAGTGAAAGCTTAAGGATTTGTGAAGTTGTAGGAGCTCTCATGGGACTGTGGTTAAAGCTTTGGACTGCTAAACAAAAGGTTGGTGGGAGAAAGGGAGTCTGCTTCCATTAAGATTTAGAGCCTTGGAGACCCAATGGGTGTCCAAAGGGTTGCTATGAGTTGGAATCAACTCAGTCAGTGGCCATGAGGTTTGGACTGTTTGTATTCCAAGAGGGAAAATGGTTAACCCAGAGAAATTAATAATAATGGTGGCATTTCAGACATGAAAGGAGAAGATAGGGAAAGAGATTCCCTCATATCAGTTTGTATAGGCAACAGCCTACCTGTGAGGTGAACGGTAAGAGCACTCAGTGTTACACAGGTAAAAAACAAAACCTACCTTTTTCATCTCTGAACAACCCTGAACAAATCATCCACAAACTTAGGAACAGAGCAACCTAGATCTGACAGTAAAAGCGTACCATGCATTCTTCTTTTCTTTCTCTGTTTTGTTCTGTGTTGCTAAAATAGCACACCTGTCAAAGCAGCCAGGTTCGATGGGGTTCAGCACAACGAAGATGGTATAAAAAACGAACAGATAAATTATAAGGTAATAGTACAACTCTCACATCCAGCACCTCATTGTCATCTCACAAGCACACTGACAGCTGAGGCAGCCCACTACTGCAGTATTGATGAAAAATACTGACATCTTCACTCTTGTGCTACACCAGGGACTAAACCTGACTTTAGCAAATGCAGAACTTCACACTGAGCTTGAAGTGCAGAGAAGAGGGGGATTGAAATGGTTCTCTTCCTCCTTCCTCCCCATATTCACAAGAAAGGAGAGGCAGGGAATGAGAGAGAAGAGCAATGGAGACTCCAAATGAAAAAGAATTGGGAAGATTTCTGCCCTCTTGGAAGCAAAACTCTCTGAATACTTGTTTATTGTCT